CTGTGAACCAAATAATACAAGACACACATTCGGAAGAACAAATACGTTCATCAGCAGCACTGTAACAATTCGCAACGTTTCCTTGGTTCATGAAGATGAATATGATATCAGTATGGTTTCTCGTACCAACTTATAGACTTGTAAAATCAACCTGACAGTAAATGGTATGTACTTAAAACAAAATATTTTCCAATAACGATTTCTACATTAATAATTACAGCAACCAGGTCGTTTTTGCTAACCACCAAATTGTGTTTCTCAAAATACGTTTTAGAGAAATTTAAAAAAAAATCAAATGCAATTTATAACGATAAAAACATTAAGTCATTATTCGTGCAGATCCCGTAATATGAAAAGATATCTTACATTCCAGATTTTAAAAGAAAGAAATGCTTGAGATGATGTTTAACAAACTATACTGCGAATAAGCTTCTATAAATGAAATGGGTCCTACCAAAGAGTTTAATTAAAATGAATTTTATTTATGCAGCAGGGGGAGGAGAGGGGTTGAATTCATTAATTTGTTTATTTATCTATTTTTCGGTGATCGAATGTAATATTGCAGAAGTCACCATAATCACCATAATCTTAACGATTCTGTAAATAATCAATTTGATTTTAAACGGCAATATAAAAGCGGCTATTTCCCTTATTTTGAATTAATTTAAGTTCCACCAAAGGGGTTGATCTTGGTTGAGAAAGCCGACGCTACCGTTCTACAGAATCAAGAATCACTCACGGTTGCAGAAGGAGAAAACAAGACATTATTCTGTAAAACCAATACATCGGTGAAACCATCCGTCAATTTGGAGTGGGTGATTCCAATCCAGCTAAATGCTTCTGTTGAACCTCAACAAAATATGTATGATAAACATGATGGACGTCTTCTTGTGCCGACTCGGACAATACACTTTACACCAACATATGCAGATGGTGGATTTATTGTGCTTGTTTGTAAGGTGGCTAGCAACTCAACCCATGATCACATTCAGACATCAGTTATTATAAAAAAGGAAGGTGAGCATTCAAAAATTATATTTTTCTGGGAAACAGTACATACCGGTTAAATACCTGTTCATCAATGTAAAAATGTGTCACTGATGAAATAATCCATGACCAAGTATGTGTAGTCACATTCAGAAATAGATTCGTCAAAACGTATTCTTGTTTGAAAATAAAATTGGACACATTGTGTGTAGTCACGAATTTTCGTATGCAATCAAATTGAGGCGATGAAGAAATCGTTAAAGCAGCAAACGGGACCCGGGTCGTGAATATTTTTGAAGAATGCCAACATAATTTGAAGGAAAACATATCATCGAGTGTCCTACTTTTTGTGTTTATTATATGCTATTCTTAATAAGCTGATATTGCTGATTTAATTTTTCGTCGCCCTTTTGTTCAGGCTTTCCAAATATGTGAGACGGTGCATTTCACCGTTTCTCTTTCCAGCAATCTTCCCTGTTAATGTATTTCTTTTTTATAATAGATTGCTTTCTGTATATGTGACCAACACATTGCATAATTTGCCTCTTTCTTATTGCGCTCATGAGTGATGTTTAACTCTTTATTTTCTAAAAACTTCTTTAAAAGTTATTGTGTCCATGATAAGTCTAAGGAAATATGAAAAAGTGTAAGAAAGTATGCATAAAGTGCAAGTCAGACACAAGGGCTTTACAACACTGTGTTAAGGATATGTGATTTGTCGAGTGTGACAGTCATGAATCATAGCAACCCCCTGGCGTAGTATTCTTTAGCTTGACGGTTTTGTAGAAGATTTGTTAACCCACAGTACTAAATCAGAAGCAGACATTCCAGTAAAATTATATTTTCCATGATTTCAATGACGATTTTAGTAATCAATTTATACTTTATTGATTCGTTTTTTATGTACTCAAACAGTATTGAAAATAATTAGAAATTGTGGATTCTATTTTGATAAATGCCGCATAAAGGCATTATGCAATTGGTAGTTTACAAATATCTTATCATTATAAAATTGCAATTTAAACTTTAATACTATTGTGGAAAGAAGGTGAACTTGTATCCTCATGGACATTATTTTGTTCTATCCCTATTACCCCCTCCCCTACTCCCGTAATGACACAGTTTTGTCCCCTCTGTACATCGTTACTGATATTTTGAAAATGTAAATGGAGCTCCTTCGCTTAAAATGTATAGGAGAATACACTACCAACCACGAAGCTCTAAAGACTGGCTCTAAGGAAAGTCATGCAGTGACAGCAAGTAATGGAGATTTACAAGGTTATTCGTTTTTAGTATTTTCCGTATAAATTCCACATGCAACATCACGTTCACAATTGAAACACAGTATTACTGGTGAGAGATACTGGACAAAACTGGAAATAAATCATTTATTCAAAACTTAAATAATAATTTCTTAAATATCTCAAGGACTTTATACAATAATCTTGCTTTAATGTTTGTTGGTAGGATCCCGAGCTGTTTGTTCGTTGATTTCTTTGTACGATTCGCCTAATAATATTGTATTAGTAGTCGAATTAATATTAGTAACAGTGGTACTAAAAGTATGAGAAGTAGTAGTAGCAGTAGTAGTAGTAGTAGTAGTAGTAACATGAGTATTATCATTAGAAGTAGCAGTATGAGTAGTAATGTCAGTAAGAATAGTGGTAGTATGAGTAGTAGTAATACTATTATCATTAAAAGTAGTAGCAGAAGTAGTAGTAGAGGTAGTAGCAGTAGAAGTAAAAGTAGAAGCAGCTTTCATTTTAGTATTCTCCTCCTACTCATTAATATCATTATATTACTATTATTTGTTTATTGTCATTATCATTATTATGTTTTAATGATCATCAATATTATTATTGTTGCTATTTTTCGGTCAACTCAATATAATGTGAAAGCCTAGAGTCTTTTAGGATGCTGAATAAAATGTTATATCCATGATAATTAAAATGATATTAACAGTAAAACTAATGCCAGTTTGTTTGTTACAGATTAAATAACATAAAACCCAAAACAAATAAAATAGAATAATTAAATAACTAAACGAAATGTACATGTCCTTTTTGAAATATATTTCACAGGCAGTGGAACATCTTACACCACACATTTCGACCCTTCAAATCAAGGTATATAGAACATGACATAGCATGCATATTATTAATACTGGACAATGGCACTTATTGGCAGTAAAAACGTTGCAAGAGAAATATTGCTCAGTCAAATTAGTGAAATTTAGAAAAGCTCGTTTGAAGTTACAAGAGATCAAAGAAAGTGTGAATTATAGCACGTTTGGCGCGTATATGTGCGCATGTGCGTGTTTGTTAACATTAACAAGAATGATGATTTGGAGCCTTGTTAATAGTACATTTAAGAAACACTCCCGTTTGATGTCAGTCCTTAAAAAAATGTTAATAAGTTCGTCCGTTTTCCTCAAATTTGGTTCAATATTAGAAGATGATTGCACCTCATCCGTTCTTCTAAAAAAAAGCCAAGTGTCCCTCAGACATTACAAATATTTTTATTTTTATTTTGTATTATTTTTTTATTTTATTTATTTATTTATTTATTTATTTATTTATTTTTATTTTTATTTTTTATTTTTTATTTTATTTTATTATTATTTTTTTTTTTTTGGGGGGGGGGGAGGGCATTTACATGTTTCTACTTTTGCTTTTAACAATAATACCGCAGTTCGTTCGATGTTATCATATTTCGAGCCTAGATATTCACTTATGACTTAAATACATGGTTGTGGGTGTAATAGAAAGAAGGATCCTTGATAGGTTCGTGGTTCCAGCGAAATGTTGGTATTTAGGATAACAGATTTTCTCTAACCGTTGGAATTACAAAGCATGATACTGAATGGATTCTTTTTTTAATTCTATATATCTTAAAACACATGGATTTTATCGAGATCATTTTGTAGAAATACTGCACTTGTGATTTGTAATATGAAAATGCAAGCATCAGTGCTGTAGCACTCAAGAAACACACTGAAACAGTCAAACTCTCTGTTTTTACCAAGCTCTTATAATTGTGATTTTTATGTAACATACAATTATTTGTTTACATTTATCCTTACCCTTACAAATTTAAGTCACTGTTTTGTCATTATATATACTTGACCTAGAAATGCTTTATAATTATGAATACGAAACCGTAGTGAAAGCACATTTCATTTGGAAAAAAATAAACAAGGGAGAAAAATACAATCAATTATGTAATATTATAAGATTGTTAAATGTATATGTCTTTTTATTTCATTTGCTCTTAAGAGCCTACGGAGAAACCATGGTACAAACAAATGCGTCTTGTTATACCTGGATGTTCCGGCGTGGTGATGCTGTTAATTGTACTGGCAATTGTTGGTGGTTTTATCTGCTCTAAGAAGAGAGATGGTAGGTCATTTTAACGTTGTAAGAAGTATTCGTGTATATAGTTGGGCTGTGTGAAGAGACGAGCTGTCACAATCGTATTCTAACGAAAATGAAAATGAATTTGAATATGACAATGGTAGAAATGTGAAAAAACGGAAGTTATTTTTTGTTTTAATGAAAATAATTGTAAATAATGGTAACTGTTATTATAATGTTAATTATTTCTGTCGATGCCACGTTGTAACGAAAATTGTAAATTTTGAATGGAATAGGGAGACAAAACCTGTTGTAAAATCATATAACCTTTAGTCCTGACAGTCACGTTTTAATTTGATACTCGTAAAAAGCAAGGCGATGAACTTCATCTTATTCTAAATAGCAAAGTGAACCTCCCAAAATTAGTTTTTAATATCTATAGGGCTGACGCATATCATAGTTATACATACTTATATTATAAAGTGAAGGGTATTTATACCTATACCTTATAAACAAGACACTTCTTTAGCAGGATAATTATTGCAAAAGTAAGAAAGACACAAATATATAAGTTGTTTCGATGCTTTAGACCAATTGGTCGTAAAGACTAATGATATTATTCACCCCTCAAAATGAATTAACCTTCTGTGATCAGCAGCTCGAGCTATGCAGACCTCTGGAAATCTAACAGATGATGAAACATCTCACACCAGCAAGCCAACATCAACTACCGGTGTTAAGGTGAATTCAATTTATCGTTAACCCTTGATATGAATGTTTAAATATTTCAGATCATTATTGAGCACAAATTATCACAAATATTTGAAGAATTGAGCCCCATTAGGGAAATTTCAAAACTCTGTTTATAGTATAAACAGAAATGGATTAATGGAATGCTCCCCGGGGAGTGGGAAATGTGCACACATTGTGTGCGGGTAAGCCTGAATCCAATGACCGGGGTAATAATATATCTGTAAAGCGCTTAGGCACATCGTTGCATCGGTGTATTGAGCGCTATATAAAAAAAACGGATTATTATTACTGTTATTATTAATGTCTAGATTATGCACTAATGGTATTGTTATGTTTACAACTTATGAGATGAACCAATCTAACATTTATTTTCATATATGTATGTTTTTGTTTATTTTAACTGATTTGAAACGATGATGAGAAGGATCCGGGCAACCTACCTCTTGTTAATTCATCAAGTAAATATTTCTCTTTCGGTTTCCAGCCTTTGGACATGATCTTCGACCCATTAGACCCTACATACGCAATTCCCGATGTTTCCGAAGTACCCCATACCTATATGGCATTGAAGTGCAAATCCTCAGCTAGTACTAGCCAACAAGTCTTCCATCCCAGCACCCCAATTGACAATCAAGGTGATGCTGTACTTAACGTTAGTTCCACTCTCGTCCGCAAGCAAGTGAAGACACATTCACATCTGAAGGAGGAGCCTACTTATCTTAACACCGAATGTGCGTCCAGTTATTGTGAAATTAGTACAGATATTCCGAACATTGTTAAGGATCCCACTGACCTATCAAAACCCACAAATGTAGTTACCGATGTTTCCGAAGTACCCCATACCTATATGGCAATGAAGCCTATAAAGAAGTACAAATCCTCAGCTGGTACTAGCCAACATGTCTACCATCCCACCACCTCAGTTGACGATCATGGTGATGCTGTACTTTACGTTAGCCCCACTCTCGTCCGCAAGCAAGTGAAGGCATATTCCAATCTAAAGGAGGAACCTACTTTTGTGAACACCGAAGCTGCGTCAACTTATTGTGAAATTAGTAAAGATATTCCAAACATTGTTAAAGATCAAGCTGAGGGCCGTGATGATGTGTTTACAACTTACATCTAGAGAAAGGATATAGAAGTGATCATAGTTTAAAGCAATTGGTTAAATCATTACTATTGTTATGTTTCATATTCTGTCCATGTAACGAACACAACATGAGCAATGTATCTAAATGAAAGCAAAGCTGTAAGTTTGTAACAGATATTCATGAAATTGTTAAGGATTACTCTGATAGCTTTGGTAATATTTTACAACGTCCTTCTAAAGAAAGTAATTTAAAGGGTGCGTTGTTTACCTTATTACTTATCGCTTTACAAAGAAAGTCGTTAGTATACATTTTGCTGTTATGTTACTGAACCCCCCCCCCCCCCTCTGGATCTGAAAAATGACTCGAATTATAGTAGTGATGCAATAATAAGAATTTCAAGTGTACATGAAAACATTGGAAAGTTTGGTTTTGTTAACACTACTCTTATATTTCGCATCCCTTTTCTGCACGTAATAAAAACAACTGAATTTTTAATTTAATTTAAGTTATGATGGCAAAAGTATGAAAGTAAAGTGTACATGCATTTCAAATAAGTGTATAATTTTGTTTGGCGTGTGTGTCAATTGTAATGATATATTAAAGGTAAAGACCGGTAGTGGTAAAATTACGGTTCAAGGGTTTGGGGTGTAAAATATCAATTCAATATTGCTTAAAATTGCCTTTAGAGGTTTAGATGGCAATACTTCAACCTAAATTCGCAAGCAGAAATATAATTATGCCAAAATGTTCAATATTGAAGTGTATTCGCAATATTCCAGGCCGGATTGATATGATAATTACCAAATATAACAATGAGTAGGCGGTTTCCCGGCAAAATTTGCATCATCACGTATTAGTCAAAACATATTCTTTCACATGATGGGTAATAAGAACTTCAATTTCATTTTTTGAGAGGGGGCGTTTCCAAAACTAATCTATACCTTTAAGGAATATAGCAATTACTAGAAATATCTACGGCAAAAGCAATTTTATTTTCACCAGAATATTTAATTAGTGTATATTGCAAAAATATGACAAAACCAGAAAGCGGTTTAGGGCACTTGATTGCGGTTTCTTTTAAAGTTTATTAGTATATATGTATATAGCAACAAAGGGAATAATCAAAGTGCAGCATCGAGTAGCTTGAAAAGGCTTAACATTATATTGTACTGCATGGTAGATCGAAATGAGGAAGTGTATGAACTGAGTGAACTGAGATTTATTTTCATACTAACATTTGAATTAACGTATAACGTCCAGGGGATGCTTATGGCAAGTTAATCGCTAATAAAAACTCTATGATAAAACCAAAGTCTGTAGCAATCTTTTCATCAGAGATTGGTTTGCGGAAGTGCTCCTTTATGTAAGTAGAGTGACAGCTTTAAGCACCTTATTGTTAACTGAAAGTAGAATTTATATTTTGCGACGTCCACTTGTCTATTACGTTTAGATCACGGTGATGTGTGGCATTTAGCATAAAACAATTGATATATGTTGGATCTAGATTGACATGTAAGTTAAAACAAACTAAGAAAAAATAAAAGCTTACCCGACGAAACTGAGAATAATAAAAAGAGTTGACGACATTGCTATACAAAAATAAACTTTGACCAAAGTCAATCCGGATACTATGAATGAAATTATCTGGGGTTAACATACACTTATTCACGGCTGATTAAAGAGGAAACGACAAAGCGTTGGAATTGTGCATTTTTCGTGGCTTTTATTTAAAATGGAATTCTGTCATTTCTACATGTTTCATTTTACCATGGCGGTACATGAATTCACGCCAATATTATAATTGCATACACACATATTTGAGTATCCAACCCAATTACAAAACTAGTGCTGGAATCTAAGCTGAAAAATGAGGATTCATGTGAATAAATGTAATCTGCATCCCATACATAAACCTTAAAATCAAAATATGTGTAATCCAATCATGTAGCCAGAGAAGGGTTAACCCACGGCTAGAAACCCCTTCTCGTAAACGAATATTCCCTATTGCCACGAGCACCCCTTGCTAGCCGTCAGGAATGCCGCCCGATCAAACGGGGAAAATTGTATGTAACCCGGGTTCACCACCTATTTCGAGCTCTCATCAACGATTCCAGCTAAAGTGTTCCCAACCGGGCTCCATCACTTCCCTCCAGGTATACCTCCCTGCATACAAAATCGAGCGAGGCTCCTGAAATTACTCTTCTTACGAATGGTAATATATTTTCTTGCTATTATATGTAAGTGTGATGAAGTCCCAAAATGATAAATTCCGCCAACGAGCAAATTAAATAGCTCGCCGCCAAGAACACGGTTTCACTGGATAGCCTATAAGTAAGCTTAAAGCGACATTCTCACTAATAATTGAAGCCAACTAATTACCAAGCACGAATATATAACCACTCCGGAAACCATATACACATATACATAGTACCGCAGGCAACCCTTGCTTCTTTTTTGTTTAACAGGTTTATCACCTAGTTTCAATAAACTGAACACTACAACGTTACATAACACAATACAACCGCGATATCATGCCGTGCGGTGTTACCTAACCAGGTTTCAGACCTACTCCCTCAACTTGCATTACTCCATAATGGTTTAAACCTTCCTTTATACCGCCACCAATAACCACCCATATAGCTCGATCCACATAAAGTGGAGAACAAGAACCAAAAAGGTTTATATATTTACAAACTTTGTACTTCAAAGACATATGATTCATACATATTCTGTATACAAAATATGACACACTTGTCAATTCGTAATGACCTTGCCCCACGGCCATACTTTCAAAATCTTAGCAACCTACTAAGATACCTAATTCGCCACTTTGATTGTCCAACTCAACAGGTCTTGTCTCTACCAAAAGCCATGAGAGAATGACGCAATTATCACATGCACGTACGTACGCGCGTGTTATGCGTTTTGTGTGCAAAAGAGAGCGCATTCGGAAACGTGCCAAAAAGCGCGCTTTGTCTAGAGGCGCCAAATTCATAACCATGTAAACAAGCTTATTGTTGCGTCACATTGACCAGCAAAACCAAACAAAGATATAGAGTTGCGTACCAGCCGATGAATCAATATTTTTGAAAGCGTTTTTGTAACTCTTTACAAGTTCTTAATTATAAAGCTATTGATATGGCAAACATTACGAATTGGGATTTTTTTTTTGCGATTACACTCATATTAAAGATATGGTTTTAGAACAAAGAAGATAAATCGTCATTTTCCTTCTCTTCCTCTTTCTAGTTCCCCCCCCACCCCCCCCCCCCCTCTCTCTCTCTCCTTTGTTTTAACCTGTAATGACACGGAAGTTTTTAATGTTTTTAACATGTGTACTATATTTCGAATTTGATTCATATTTTGATCAGTTATTATGTTTTACATTTACTTTGTTAATTGAGCAATTTTAGCTTTCCAGCTGCATCTTCTTTTATTGTAATAAACCGAATTAATTCAATTCAATCAATTAGAATCCTATTCCAATTCAGTAATGTCTGTGTAAATATCCTCGTCACTCATCCCATTTACAGAGAGAGATATTCCTCGCAATCAAAAATAAGGAACAACATGGATTTGTCATTAAAAGAAACGAACTATCTAAGTATCGTTCATAAAAAGAGAAAAAAAGAATAAACTAAAAAGGGAGGGGAGAGAAAAGAAAGAAAGATGTTAAAACTTTAATTTCAATATAATTATATTTTCATATGAATAAATTGTTTCAGCCAATATCTGATAAAAGCTCTTCTGCATTGGTGCACGGTATTTTGAGGATGTGAAAGATAGACATTTGTAAATATTTCATACTAGTTTCAGTTGATACCATTCCTATAATCTACGGTAACCATGGTCATACATTGGTTTCCTTGTTTCACATAGTGTTGAGGGACTTACTATCTGTTAGTGTATGCGTGGGAATGTGTATATGCATCGTAACAAGTCATAGCTAGTAGGTGGGAGATAGTTGTGACATAGATAAGCGAAGGGTCATTAATGAGCACTCTTTTTTTCTCCCAATTTGTGAGAAAATATTTAGCGGCGAATTAGCGGCGAGGGGGGTGGGGGTGGGGGGGGGGGGGGGTATTGAGCACTATTTTATTTTGCTCAAGGGGGGGGGGGGTGGGGGAGGCAAGGTTAGAGAGCAATATCTGTTTTAAACTGAACACCCCCCCCCCCCCCTTGAGCCCCAAAAATGTTAAATTGTGGTTACCAATTTTAAAAAACTTTTTTTTGCCAGGGTCCAAAACCCATGCCCCCCTAGATCATAATGGATCATTGAAGCTACAGCAAGGAATTAAAAAACCAAACTTAGTACGCAAATTATATGAAATATGGAAGTGTATTGTGGAAATCCCTCCCAAATCATTACAATACTCCTCACAGTTCCATGTCTTCTTTTTTGACAAAAAACAAATCTGCCATTGTGCTTCTACATGTACTGTCTCATCTAAATTCATGTCTAAACTCTTCAAACTAGTTTGATCTCAACTCAACCTCGTACTTTTACAAACAAAACTTTGCGCATAGGTTTTTATGTATTTTTTTTTATATAGGCCGATCTTAAACTCTACTCAAACTTTGCTTTTTGAGCCAAAATAAATCCTAAATAAATCATGCTTCTTAATGCATAGTATGACGATATTAATTTGCATAATAATCTTTTTACTTTTCCAAAACAGCAAATGACATGCTTTGACTGCTACATTTTTTTAAAGCTCAAAAGGCCATTTATAACAAGCAATTTAACTAAATACATTTAACTCAAGAATATGAACCCTAACTTTCGTTCTGACCGAAGAAAATTTGATACAGGAACGTGCACACTGCTACTTGAAAATTAAAACAGTTATTCACCCTAACAAATCCTTTCAAAGTTTGAGGCTATTTTGCTGTAACCTTTCCTAAAGTTTCATATTTGCCAGAACATGAACGTGCCTTTGAAATATATCTTCAACCATTAATTGCATTGATAAACGGATAAAGTCGAAATTACTACTGAAGAAAGAATGAGAAAAACAGATAACAGATTGGACGAGTAACCACATAATAGTAACCTAGTTAAAAGATTTTAACTTTGATCACCTGAACTGCTTTCTTAAGCATATTGATGACCTTCGTACAATTCAGGAAAGACTGCACATATATTTGATTACAGGTGTTTCGGCAATTTGCACAGGTCCTACCCCAAAAAAGATGATAATGAATCTAGACCCCATTCTTTTTGCCATCTATGTAAATGATCTAACAACCTCTATAAAAAAGTGTAATATATAGTTATACGGTATACACATTTTTATATTACCCTGGTAAAACAACAAAGGCTATTGCA